ACGACCATGTATCTAGCCTCCTATGAGTAATAAAAAGCAGGCTAAACAAGAGACACATGAAAGTCTCAAAGGAAAACCAAGTGTCTTCCGTGAGACTTACAAACACACAAAACTAAAATGTTGCAAAATTATCTGCATAATTATAAAAGATACCTTTCTACATATTCCATATATATTTTCACCAAGCAGGCTTACCATGGTGATGTACTGTTTGCCCTGTCTAGATACTAACAATGTATTTGGCACTTAGCAACAAAGATCATGTTTATCTGCTATTAAAACAGCATAAAACCTTCTTCAGAATGCATAGTTCTATGCAAATTCCAGCTTGCTTCAGGTGCCACTTGCGAAATTAGACAAAAGCTTTGTTTCAAAAAAGCACAAAGAGGATTTTAAAAAGCACAGAAACTGTTCCACCCCCCCTCAGTTATCCTATACTGCAATACTATGGAACAATTGCTCAGCAGAGATAGATTACAGTGAAATATGTCTTTTGGGAAGGCAGAATTCCTTCACGTTTCAAACAAGTTTTTCCAGAACCTAACAAGTCTTTCTGATTTGTAACTTGGAGCCATAGCTGTTAATGTAATTCAGGTAACAGGCCATAAAAAAAGAAGTGAGAAAAGGAAGGAAATTGTCTTTAGTAAGTAGGCTTAGACTGCAGTCATTCCAATTTGCCTGTGCTGCTGGATTATGACACATAATATGCAGAGCACTATCAAGCAACAAGGAAAAATATAATGTCTTTGCCTTACAAACTGAAATTGATTTTTTGCTTCTGACAATAATGGAGAGATCAGTTTATCTTTCAAAGCAGAATTAGAAATGACACCATTATTTATATGACCTGTTATTTACCTTTTTACCTCTCTCAAGGAGACATAGACATGCTCTTTATTTATATGTTTGTGTAACCTGTTTTAAAACAACATCAGAATCATGAATATTACATAAGCAGGATTTCATCAGACATCTGCTTAGTGCTTATTGCTATGGCATGGTCTTGGCTAGATTGATAGATACAAAAATTGTATCTTGCAGAAGGCTGCAAAGACAGTCAATATTCAATGGCCAAGAAGTCTTGACGAATGAAGCTGGGAAGAATCCAGTTAATTCAACTCTCTCTGAATAATTGTAGAGACCTTATCATGGTGTCTTTTCACCACCATGTTCCTATACCAAAGGCATTGTCAGATAACATTCTGTGCCAGCTACTCTGCCACTTTATTTTTGGGACCACTGGGACAGAAAGAAATGAAGGCTTTAACTTAATAATCCGGGAAATTTTCACTTCCTGATCAAGAAATCATTATCAAGAAAAATTAAGACTGAAAGGTATTGGCATGGGCAATGTACAGAACTCAAAGGAAAAACTTTTACCTACTTATAAGCAACATTATATCTTTTAAAAAAATCAAAATAAAGAAAGCTAAAACCTGCATATCTGAAATATAGTCCATATATTAAAAAGTTTACATGTAGTATTATATTGCATTATATTATAGTGACTATATTCTATTCTAGTGTGTTGCACTGCATAGAAGAATGCAGTACTCAAGCAGATCTGTCAAACACACGTTTTGATTTGACCATGAGGTGGCAGTACTGCTCATCACATGGCCAGAGCACATTAGGCTTTCACTGTATGTACCAGCTGTTGAAGATACAAACATCCTGTATATTTCCATGCTAAAAATGTGCATTACCACTAGAGTAATAAGTTCCTAGGACAAACACACAAAAAGGGAACTTTATATTTATGTACAGTTGGTACCTGAGACAGTAATATTTGATTGAATTGACTGTTTTCCCCAAAACAAGAAGTTATACTGAAAACTTTGCATTAACATTGCAGAATCTTTTCCCAGTGAAGAAAAAAAATGAGGATGTGGTAGAAATTAACTGTGAAAGTGTTAATCATAGGATCATAAAATCAGAATAGTTTGGTTTGAAAGGGACATTTAAAGGCCATATAGCCCAATACCCCAGTGATGAGCAGGGACATCTACACCTAGATCAGGTTGCTCAGAGCCCTGTTCAACCTGACTTTGAATGTTTCCAGGAATGAGGTTTCTACCACCTCAATGGAGATAATGTTCCAGTAGTTTGCCAGGATTACTGTAAAAAATTTCTTGCTTACATCAAGTCTGCAATGGGGAAGAATATATTTTTTTCATGTGCTGTTAGTTTTGTTAGAAAATAATATTTTTTTTAAAGTTTGGAATGTAAAGAAAAATTATGTCCATGGGCTGCTTATAATTTTCCATTCAAAGATTTGCCAAGCAATGATTTCACATGAGAAAATTCAGTTTTCCAAAATGGTTTAACAGTGTTCTATCCCACAGGAAACACTTGTGCTGATGATGTTTCTGACAGGTATGTTTTTTTTTTTTGTGAAATGGCATCCCCATATTTATTTTCTTGAAACTGAGAAAAAAGGCAGTAGTGTGTAACAAGCAGTATCTCCTGCAGGAAAAAAAACCAAACCAAAAAACAACCAACAACAATAATATGAGGATCAGATTAACATGAGAAGAAGACTAGTCACTAGATTCCCCATGTAGTAGAAGGACAAGCATATTAGAATTATTTTGGCATGTATGTATGTATGTCTATAAGTAGATGTTACAATATCTTCCTTTGTATATAATTTAAAAAGCAACTTGGATACATATCCTACAAAGATTTATGCAAAATACTGGCTGCAGCTTTCTTTTCTGGGTGCAGGTTGCCTGTGCAGCAGGACAGAGGGTTGTCAGTTGGGTTCAGGTCCTCAGCTGATGCAAAAGGACAGTGGTGAAAAAGCTAAAGCTTTTATTTTAAACATACACAAATGGGCCTCTTTAATACAAATATTCCCCAGCTACACACTGAACAGAGGTTGTAAAACCCAAGAACAGAACAAAGGTTTTAAAACCCAAGAACCCTAGACCCCAAAAAAAAGTCCAGGCTGAGTTTCACCCAGCAGCAAACTGCATGTGGTGAGCACATTATAGCCATAATCTCAATCTTTCTAATTCTTTAATCTTTTTTCCAGCATGTGATGTGTGAAAGACCATGCACTGGCACAAGAGAAAGCATATGTTCAAGTAAACATTTTAGTAGTCTGCCAATAGCTATGTATTATCCATGGATAATGTTCCTTTTTCCACACCCCTCACATGGCAGGTAAGGAGATTCACTCTGGAGTGGGTAATGGATAGAACAGGTTTTGCAGTATTTGGCAAAGCAGAAGTCCCATTCTGGTGTTTTTCTTTCTAAGGTGCATAATTCACAGTATTTTTTCTGATTTTTGTTAATTAGATAATTAGCTATAATCTGCCTCTACACTGTCTAAATGACAGAAGCAGTCTGCCTACAAATTGTTTTTGCATGATTAGAATTGCTTATTTGCTGTAATCAATGAGTCCCATAGTACCAGTCTTTTCCCTAAAGAGATTAACTTAGCTATCTCCTTCAGGACAATAGATAATGAATATAAATAACACCAAAGATAAGCAACTTGCAAAGACCAAATTCACATCCTCAATCTTCAGTCTTAAGTTACTGTGACACATTCATTTCTTAGTCCTCAAGCCCAAATAAATCCGTGGCCCTAAACTTTCTAAGACCTTGAGAGTGAAGGGCTTCAAATGTAACCTTTTCCCCAAAGTTAGAGAGTCATGGGTCTGCTCTCTTGGCTGAGCTGGTGCTCCTGAGTCCTCCTAAAAAGCCCATGTTTCTGGACCAGTGTTTCGGCATTTACCTGGTCCTGCAAGGACGCACCCTTCCAGCACAACTGCTGCTCAGCCACCACCCATCAGAGGAGGAAGAGCAGTCATTCTGCCCCTTAATCTTTCTGGAGTCTTGATAGTTACACATGGAACTGCACACACACCTGGAAAGCTGAAGAGTCATATGGTATTTCAGTATTTTGACTTTGTTTCTGCATGACTGCAGTAAGAGCTGTGATTGGTACATGTTCAAGACTTTTTCCTGACAGATATTTAACTCAAGTATATAAGTAACATGAGCTCTTAAAAGAACTGATTTTTAAAATAATTATGAGTAAGGGGCCTCTTAAGAAAAAGTGCATGATTATGTGTCTGAAATTAATACATGTTTCAAGATTAAATTTTCTATGTGTTTAGTGGAGTTATTATATTTTTTCCTACTTACCACTTTGCTAGGGCAGTAGGAAATTAAATAATTTTGATTGTATGACTATCAAAACAAAGCACTGTATTATACTTAAGAATAGGTACATTTCAGTGAATTTCACTGATACATGCACAAAGAAAATGCTAGAAAAATTGTTTGCATTTATTGTGCTACCTAATGATTCAGCAATACTCTTCGAAGTAATGTGGGTTCAGATACCGTTTCATGGGCCTGTGGTACACAGGTGAGGAAGTGCAAAAGTATAAACACACTGCAGAACTTAGAGATGTTTTTCCAAACTGCTGAGGTTGTGGACTTCTACACTAGGCTCAGACTTACTTGAAATTATTCCCAGATGCCCATGAAACCATCCTGTGGCTTGGGATTGCTACAGTTTAAAAATGTTTCAGTAGTCTCCCTTTTCAACAGCATCCTTAATAGAATCTCTTGTGCAGCATTTTTTTTTCAGCCTGCTTTCTTCGTGTCCAATGTATCCTGTTCTTACAGACAGAAGAATATGGCCAGAACAAAGTCAGAAGGATAGAATCTTACAAATCTGCTTTTCCTATTAAGCAACTCTAATAATCCAGGATTTTTCTTTCAGGCTCTGCACAAAATTTGATGGATAAGGCTTACCAGCAGAACTTAGTAGTACTAAGCATTATGTGAAAGGAATGATTTTCTCTCATAATGCTTCAATGGAGTTTTTCAAATCTAATGACTGTTTCTGGTTTGTTTGTTTAAGTTTGTTTCTGGTTACCACGCAATTTTTTTGTTTTAGAATAAACTGGAGATGTTTAGGAAACAACAGATTGCATATAAAAATAGATGTCAAAAATCCAATAAAATGTTGTCCTTACCATCTGTTTTCTTTGATTCATCCCCCACGCTACACTTATATTTTCTGTCCAATTTGTTGTCTTCCTTTGATTCATCTAGAAAGAAGTAATAAGAAACATTTAATGCATTTTAATGCATGAAAAGTGCATTTTAATGCTTGTAACTCAATGAAATTACAACACCAAAGGAGATGTTGCTCTTTAGGAGGAAAGGTCTGAGTCCAAAAAGAACTTAATTAACTCATTTCCATAGAACAAAGCATCAGAGAGCATGTATCAAACTCCTACAAATAAGCAAGATTTAAAATCCACTTATAAATTTCTTCTAATTATCAAAACCTTTTTAAGTTATATGCAAACTCACAATGCCTCTGACTGTATGTTGGCCATTAAAAACTTGATCATAAGCTTCATTTCAAAGTCTGAAACATTCATGCTTTCCAAAGAAATGAGAACCTGCAAGGCTTCATCATAAGGGTTCTGTTTTAAAGAACCATCTTAGATACCCTTAACATGCCTAGGTAATTTTGCCTTATTTTGTCTTACCAGATTCCTTTTATCCATCGATTCGTTTGTGTTGGTATCAGGAAACAATCATCCTAGCATTGATCATTGCCTTTAGAGTCTATGTAGCAAACAGAAAAATCAAGGCCTTTGGCACAGCAATGGTTCATGCAGAATGAAAATAGCAACTTAAGATGGGGTGTATTTTATTAAGCTAGGAATGTCAACCAAGAGTGACTCTTTTTTGGTCCTCTATTAGCCATACAGCAAAGCACATCAGACCTTACCAGACCATCCCTTCATTGAACGAGAATGTTGAATGCTAGATCAAATAAAAACTTAAATGGAAAGCTGTAGCAGAACAGAGCTATTTCAGCTGCAGTATCCAAACAGCAAGAAGGGTCTTTTTCCTTTTGTGATGCACACCTCAACACAAAAAGCTGTAAAAGTCTCACTTCAGAATTTTTTACATGTGAGGTTGTATTACAGTGATGCTTATTTCATTTGTATTACTATTTTTGGTACTATAACTACTTCCTAGCCTTTGGATCAAGATTAAAGGTATTAAGTGTTAAAGAGGATATTATCTGCCTTCCAAATACTCATGGGCAGTGGATATTTATTTTTGGAACAGCTCAAAAACAAGAAAAATTGTAGAGAAATGAGGTCTCCCTCTTCCACAATGTGCCTTAACCATTAGCATATTCATTATTCTTGGACGGCAGTGGATCAATCTCTCTCTCCAATTACGTTTCATCATAGTATAAAAGAGGAATGGTTTTCAAACCCTAAAATATTTAACAAGATGGAACTAAAGTATGTTCTGTTCAGTTTTTATTCAAAATTTTTTGTGTTTATCTTCCTAAGCTCATTGTGTGGGTGAAAAAAAAAATTAATGTAAGATGATACAGGACAAGCAGCACTCTCCTCAGCTGATCAGACTGCCGCTGACCTGGGATCTTCGTACAAAGAGGTTATGAGCAGATCCAACAAAGTTTAGGTGTCTGTTTGATTAAGGTGGTCTTAAAAAATAAGGGCATAGTCTTCAACTGAAACTAATATGCACAAAAGTATTCTTGCATTTCTTCCACCATCATACAGCTGATGGTAATGATGAGCTAACAAACCTTTTTTAACCATTGCATTAAAAAGTTGCTTGACCCTAAGTGTGTGCAGGAAAAAATTCTGAACATCTACACATGCACTGTTTCAGAGTTTGATCTCTCAGAGAAAGCACAAGGCAGTGTATGACAGAGAGACCTTAAACTCACTGCATAACACAATTTCTGAACTTTCACTGAATATTATGAAAAGGGGACTTTTAAGTAATGTAATATCTGCCCTGCCAGCAGCAGAGCAAACTAATGATCATAATGATCTTTTTGAAAGAGATTACAGAGGCAGAGAAATAATCAGACAAATATATTAGATGAGATATTAACATGTAGGCATAAAGGAAGCTGTGGTAAATCTAGACATATGAATGTTAAGATTTCATCAGTCCCCAGAGACTCTGCAGTGATTGCTCCTCATAAAGGCCTTATCCATAAATAAAGGAGAAGAATTTCTTTTCCTGAGGAAGACACTAATTTTCAGAAATCATTATCATTCCTTTCAGAGCACTTTTGACACCTGCAGCAGAGACAGACTGTCAAAAAAAGTACTAGCAAAATCACTAGAGCACACTTAGTTCCCATTTGTTAGAAGTATGCAAAACAAAAGATTGCAGAAGTAAAGTCTGGTGCAGTCTAACTCGCATTTCGTATGTCCCTGAGTTTTTGTGTTCCTGAGGGGTCCATTCATGTTCACACATGTAACATTGTCTGAAGAAACATCCCATACATTAGAGAGAATGACAGCTTTGATCCCACAACCCTTCCATTCTAAAAAAAACCCCTAATTACAAAGGAATTACTGGGCCAGCAACCCTAAGAATAATATCAGGAATGTTTTAAACAGAATTTCTGCATCTCCTGCCATCTAAACTCACTGCTTGAGCCTGGACTTTCAAAGCCTAAATGCCCATTCAGTCTTTTTCTAAAACGAGGCTTCTGAGTGGTTTTACTGCTGCTCTTGGACTGCATGATACTAGACAAGTTTGTGACAAGACACATGTGGCTGTAATGCTATTTTTTGATATAGGCTCCAGGGAGCGGGAGCTGTGCAGGAGAGGACAGTGTAATGGCCGAGAGACAAGGTATCTCTTCTGTTGGGTTTAATAAGTTTTTTTTTCATGTTTAATGGAATTTTCAAACATTTTTCCACCTTTTTTTGGGTGCAGAATGGGATTCTTATTTAAACTCAGTTCCACAGCAAGTTAAAAAAACTGGAATAAATTTTCTGTGAAAACAACCCTCAAAAAATAAAGTGGTTGTCCTTATAAAAAATAAACTGAACAAAGGGAGGATAGATAAAACAAATCCTAAAAAAAGAGTGGAGAAAAATTCTCTGCTCCAAAACATATTTTGATCTGAGGTTCAAATCAAAGATGCATTTAATTGGCTTTAAAATGAGTTTAGAAGACAACTTTGGCTTCTCCTATCAGTTACTCAAGCAATGACAATGTTCATTGAAGCAGGTTATTTGTTTCAGCTTTCCATGCTCTGTATCATAAGAGGCTACTTCAGTTCCATGAAAAAACTAATTTTTCCTTTTTCCAAGTAAGGATGGTGAACCCCATCTACAGAAGAACACTACTTGGAATTTAATTTAGGTTTCTGATTCCCATATGTAGGTGACTATGCCTATGTTCAGTAAGAGACTCTGGGTCCAGGAATGCTTTTTCAGGACATCAGGTTCCCTTATCACTAAAGTGAGTTACTGGTTTTAGGGCTGGATTTATGCTTTGAAGCAGAAGAGGAGAAGTAGAAGAAGAGAACTCACCATTCAGGACATGCTGTTTCTCTTCTCCCACAGTATGATGAGGATCCATTTTCTTATCTGTCCTAGCTGCATTTTTCCCTTGATAGGCTTCATGTTTGCTCATACTACTTTGCCAAGTGCCATTTACAGGATTCTTACTGGAATCTGTCCTTTTGCTTTCCCCAGGATTTGATTCTTTGCTCTTTTCTGTCTTTGCTTCTGTGACATCTTCACCTGGCTTCGCGTCATGTTCATCTCTTTCCTTTTCATCTGTTCCCTGATAAGCATTTTCCTCTGCTTCTCTCTTAGCCTTTTCTTCTGCATCTTCAGCAAAGAGAGCAGCCAAGCAAGGAAAGAAGTCACAGCTATCAGTCAATTTGACAAGAACAACTCACGTATCTAAATCTACTTCAGCTTTTCACATGCAAAAAATTCACTTAGATAAATATAGGAGCTGATCTGACAGTGGAAGAACATAAGAGGACATTTAACAAAATATTCTGAAAACAACTTGTTTTCAGGGACAGCCCTGGTTGTCCTAAATGTATTTTATGCGTATGTCCTTTTCTTCCCATTTAAAGTTCACCTTGAAAAGACGAACTCAAAATTCTTGAATGGCAAAAAGAGATACTAGCTACTGAGGGCTGTAGGGACGTCTCACAGATTTCACAGAATATTCTGAGTTCAAAGGGATCCATAGAATCCAACTCTTAAGTGAATGAGCCATTCAGAGGTCAAGCTCTGCTCTAAACAACTGAGCTAATCTCAGGGTCTCATGGCATACAGAAGCATTCCTCTCATTTGGAGATCTGAAAAAAAAAGGTTTATTCTGCACCTGAGCTACAGAACTTTGTCTCAAGAGAATTGGGCCTGCTACAACACCATTGGATAAGTGTCTGTTGTCAAAAGTAATGCCAGAAAATACTTTATCTAAATGGTGCTTTGTACATTGGAGTGTTTGTTTTGTCAGTTCTTTTGTTTGTTGCTCTTTCATGATGACCATTTAGGCAAAAAAACCCAATCAGTAATGATCTCAATTTTATCACACAGTATGAGAAATTTTTATAAATATCATAGGTTAAAAACAGCTCACTGAGGCTTCTAGGGACAATGCCATTACCAAAGGGAATGCAGTATTTTACAAATAATTTATTATAGTATTAGCTACAAAAATAGCGCTAATAGGTTCCTTCCTTTCTGATCCCAAATGACTATTTGCTGTCAACAAACAGTAAATATTTCTGTATTCTCTTAATAGTAATTGTTTTTATTGGCAATGCATCTTGACTGCAAGACACCAGTTTGTCAAGGGTCAGCAATTTAAGCCCCTGCTGTGTGGTAGGCCTTGCTACAAGACAGGCACGGAAGGTGATGCAGAAAACTTGCTTCAAGTCAATAGAAAATAGCAGCTGAGCCAAGATACTGAGGGCAATGGAGTGCAAAACCAGTTAATTAGTCCTTAGCCCATACAAAGATATTCTGGGCTATATGTTTGTATAACTTTCAGGATATAAAAAATATGCGTGCTTGTACTGCTAAATGTACCTAGAAACACAGAAATTATGTAAAAGTCCCTCACAAGTCTGTCTTATGATTTTTATATTGTTTATGCTTAGTCAAGAAAATATATAGTGAAATTAAATTCTTAAAACTAGTTGTCTGTATTGTAACTTCATTCACTTATCACTTTTATATCGCAAGGCACTGAACATGTTACATGCTTTTTTGGTTAGCTTTAATTTGGTCCATAGGGAACTGCTAGATATTAAATAAAACAAAAAAAAGAAACAAAAACAACCAAACAAAAAACCCACAACAAAACAAAAACAAGCAAAAAATTACCCCAAAACACACATCAGGGAAAAAAAACCCCACACACACAAAAAAAGCACCAAAACTAAACAACCAAAAAAAAAACTTCCCTGGGAAATAGATTTTAAATTATGCTTTTGTTTTCATCTTCATGGAATGCCCATGAAGAGTTTTTCCTTAACGGCATGTTTTAATCACAAAGGAAAAATTGTTTTGAATCATAAATGATTTCCTGAATTTTAAGCCAGATCTTTCAATTGGAGAGAAAAAAAACTGCTCTGACACTTTGGAGAACTGTGCCAAATCCCTAAATCACAGTCACATATTACATTAAAATCAAACTCCTTCCATTTATATGAAATAAAACAACTCCATTAAATAAGGGATTGAGCAACAACCATTCAGATCAGAGAATAAATTGTATCACAGTTTCATGGAGAAAAGAAAAAACAGTGACCTATTCCTTCTTTTTTTTTATGCTCCAAATCTGGTCTAAATCACCTAGGGGCTCTAAGATACCTTGCACAATCATTCATACCCTTGAGCTGAGGGAAATTTATACCTAAATAATTCTCAAAAGATGGCTCTCAGTATTTCCGAAAGATCTCAAATAATAGAGATTTGCTGATGTCTAACTTATTAGACATTATAATAATGTCTATAATAACCTGCCACTTGTTTCTCCTCTTAATGGTCCAAGATATTTGAATAAAAAATAGTTTCCTTATTTTGCAGCTGCAGTAGTCTTCAAAAAACTGCTTTCAGCTATACACTTTCTTAGATATAAACAAGTTATCATAATTTTCATTGCTGTACTCTGCATTGTCTACAACTGGTTTATATGTTTTTTTTCAACTGCAGTGGCCAAAACTGGACACAGAATAACACTGAGGACATTGTCACTGCTGAAAAGGTGAGAAGAATGCCAAAGGGGTCCTAGAAGCAAAGTCTTTTGGGGGGATTTTTAGTGTGTGTATGTGGGGAGTGTTGCTTTGATTTTTGTTTGGTGTTTTTTCAGTGGTGGTAGGATGTTGGTCAGATGTTTTTCAGTTTCATGACAGTATTGAACCCTAGTCAACCTTCAACCAACACAGCCCTCATATTCTGAAATATTAGCAGTCCTTCCCAGACCAATGACATCACACACAGTTTCAGCTTGCTTCCTAATTAATTTTTCAAATTATCACCAGAAATACGAAACCAGCTGTGAATAGAGATTATTCTGTCCTTCTCCTCTGATCTATCCCCCAACTGCCATCTATCTTTAAAAGTACCATCCCTTTGCAACCTGAGCAATTAATAAATATATAAATATAAAAATATATTTATATATAAATATATATAAATATATAAATATATAAATATATTTATTAATCTTTTTCTACATGTCTTTTATATTTATCTATATCTGTATTTATCTATAAATATAGATAAATCTAGATTTACAAATACCATTCCAACTATTTTTACACCCACTGAGTCTGATCTGTGACTTTAGGGGAATTCCCTTTAAATTTTTTTCTCTTCCCATTGTTCACATTCTCCTTGTTATGTACATTTACACAGCATAAAAAGACTATAAGGCACAGATGAATCACAATGTTCCTATCTTTCTGGATTCAGAGTAGGTTATTGAACTCAATAGGTGGATTCTTTCAAACTAGCAGTTTGAGAATGGTCAGACCGAAGATGAGTTTGAGAAAGAAGAGGTCAACAGAATTTTATTCTTTGACTAAGATAGGTGGATTCTTTCAAGCTAGCAGTTTGAGAATGGTCAGACTGAAGATGAGTTTGAGAAAGAAGAGGTCAACAGAATTTTATTCTTTCACTAAGAAGCCTGGCTGTTACCTTTGGTGGCTTGTGCTTTCCATTTCTCTCTGTTCTGCTGCACCACCTCAGTCCAGGTGGCTTTAAAACATTTGAAGTCCTCAGTGAGTATGGAGCAGTTGAGTGAGGCACTTCCTTCGGACCCAGTGCTCTTGACACTTGATCTTTTTACTTCAGAGTGACTAATGCTATTCAAACTAGGACACAATATCACAAAACACAGAACAAAATTAGCATCCCATACACTCAAATACAGCTAAGAAGAAATAATGGTTGAAAGTCAGATAACAGAGCTATCCTAAAAACTAAGCTTGAATCCCTTATCCTTATCATCTCTCCCACCCTGGGACAACCAATGTTAAAGTAAAGAGTACAACCTGAGCCAGTATTAGAAATAAAGGGCTGCTTTTCACCATCTTATTTTTTCATTCTCACTAAGTGCTGTAACTACTTTTTTTGTGTATCTCCACTCCCTAAATATTACTGGAGAGTCAGCCAATTCTAGAAATCAAATATGTCACAGAAGAAGTCTCCTAAATTTCACCAATGGCAGGTATTAGGCACAGGTAAATCTCATTTAAAGGCTTGGGGACCTCACCTGAGGCTTAGGCATTCATTTCTGTTACAGATCCTACAGCTGACTTTTGATGCTTTATTGTGAACATTTTAACAAAGACAGCAAGATTACTGACATAGAAAGATATTAGTGTTTGGTCTTTGTTTGCCCAAGAGGAAAGTCACCTGGGAGAGCAAATCCTGAATTGATAGCCCTACTCTAGGGATCACTAGCCACGTGGCATTTGAATTCCAAGATATGCCTTGTCAATTAAACTACTAAAAGAGTAGTATCTCTAAAACAGCAGTACAGGTTGAATGGTCCAAGACTTCCTACACCTAAACTCCAGGTGAATTTTGCACATTTGCATAACCCTAAATACTGTCACAAAATTGTGCTTATTCTTTCCAGCTATCATTTCTGTTTCAATCCCATTCATACTTCTAGGCGTGGAGAAACAAGTTCCTCCCAATTACTCTCATTACCTTCTCTCTGACAGTGACTAAGAGAGCACTGAGAGTGTATCTGAGTGCATGGCTACAACCATTTGTGCTTTTTGCCTTAGAAGGTATGACTCAGGCTGATGCCACCCTCCTCCCTCTTGGACCTCCTCCAGGCTGTGCTTTCCCTGCTCAAAGTTACCTCACGAGGTGAGCTGCTGTGTTGACAATGCAGATATGGGTCCTTAAGCCACAAGAAAGACATACACTGAGGAGGGAGGAAATCAGGGCAGTTGATTGCAATGGCAACTCATGGAGGGAAGGGACAGAGTGCAAGGTTATTCACCTGGAACGCCTAAATCCAGACAGGTCAGAGAGGGAAGCTTCATCAATTAGCAGAGTCACAATTTTCTCTGTCATGTCGGTCAGCACAGTAAAGGTGGGTTCCACAATGAAATCAATGAAACCTGAGCAGAAACACAAGCAGAGTCAAGCAGGCAAGAGAAGATTTATGTGGAATCTCTGCTTCAGTGAATACAGATGACCACACTGTAAATGACAGTAAAAAAATTATACCTTGAAAGAAGGATGGGCAAATACTAGAAAGGGAAAACTGAATTATACATTAATTCCTGACCCAAGACCCTCAATATAGCATGCAATGAAAGGAACCTATTTAAACATTGGAAAGAAATTCTGGCAAATCAGAACATAAATTCATTAAGACTTGTTTTATAAGAGGAGTAGTGTGATATTGAAGTCAAATTCCTAGTATATTTCAATAAAACTTAAAGTTCACCTTCAAAGAAGAACTCTCTCAAAGAAGAAACAGCAATAATACCAATAACCTTGAACCTCCCTTACTTACAAAATCAATGTGTTGCTGTGAATTCCCTCTCCTTAGTGCTTGGCCAGTTTTTTCTTGCTGACAATAAAAGAGATCTGGATGCTTTTCCCACATTTTTTAATATTAAAAAAAAAGAGAGAGAGAAAATAAAGACTAAAATATTTTCTACTTCAGTATATAGTTTGACAGAAATTAATATGGGTCTGATCTGAATGTCGGGAAATGCAGACTGAAGAGGTCTGTGGACATAAGGTTATGAGATGAAGGAAAATCTAAATTGTATGATGTCTTGGTTTGAAAGGCCAGATGTCAGCTAATGAAAGCAGGAGGCTCCCTTGAAATAAAGAATGTAAACTCCCTCCCTCTGAATTATTATAGTTTTGAAATTAGGGGCTCTTAGACAAAGATATGGGAGTAGGAATAACAGTTCTTTATTAGGGGAAAAATAAAGGTGAAATAAAAATGCACTAATACAAAACAACACTGACAGAGTCAGAATATGACCTGACTCACTGTCAGTCAGGGTGGTGGTAGTAGTCTGATTAAAGGGTGGCTGCAGTCATCCTGAAGTGACAGATATGGTTCTTTTGAAAGCAGTCATCCTGTAGAAGGGTGTAGTTTTCTTCTGAAGATCCAGTGGTGGTGAAGATGGGCTTGGTCTTCCTCTGGGAAAGAAAGTGGAAAAGAAAGCTGCTCCCCTGGGAATCCAGTGGAAAGGCTGACTCTGGTGTTTCAAATCTCATATTCAGGTAGGAATGCCTGGCTCCTCCTTCTGGGTGGAGCATTTCACAATGGGATGATGTAATTTTATCAGTCATGCAGTAAGACTCAATGGTCCATTAACAGAAGATATTTTCTGGAGGGAGGATTGGGTGTGGAAGAGATAAGGAAAACTGTCCCACCTGGTTGTAACAGGTGTCCAAATTAACAGAAGATAACTGCTTCACCTCTAACAGATGGCAATAGAATACACACCCCAAACCTCATCTTCCATTTCCAACCCAAGATCCAACCCATTATCCACCCCTTATTCTAGTACCATCTGCATCATACCCAAATCAATAAACTTTACCCATGGAACCTTACACATAGTTCTCACTTTAGACTAGGTTTCCCTGTAGTACACAATAGGCTTCTCCATCTTTCTGCATTACCCAAGTGTAACCAAGTCCTAGAGCAAGAACAATCCCATGGATGGGTTTGCCTTTGCCTGAGATGGGAGTAATCCAGTCTTTCCTAAAATACCTTTCATGTGTAACACAGGAACTTTGTCTCAATGTACCGTGTGCAAGAGTTCAGACTGGGCAGGACGGGCTCCATTGATGGACCCTTGGGTGTTGACCATCCAGGTGAATTTTGCTAAGTTAATTTCCCAATTTCTAAAAGTTCCCCCATGTGAGAGTCTGTCAGAATTTTCCCTCATCTGCCTCATGATTGTCCTTGGGAGACCACTGAAGAGAAGACCCCTCCTCTATAGCTGGCTCTGAAGGAGAAAAGTCACACGCCACGGGTCCTGAGACTTGAAAGCTCAGTGTTAAGCTTTCAAGTGTTCAGCTATTGTTTTCACAAGTGTGTTTGCTTTATGCTAAGAAGAGGGCACCATGCCCCGTTTGCAACAATAGCAGCTCTGGAAGCTGTCCCACCTCTCGGCCTGGCTGGACTTCTCCTGAGTTTCGGGTGGTCTCCCACTGAAGACCCTCACCTGTTTTACAACCACTGTGACAGACAGACTGAGATGTAAGAACCTTCTCCACTAAGGACTGAGACATGAAACTCCTAAAAGGCCCCTCTGCTCCTTCCAAGGACTGGGACTGAAACCCCCAACCCGGGGGAGAGGAAAGCTGACCAAAGCAAGATGTTTGCCTGCAGGTTGTGACCACTAGAGCAAGAAAACAATGTCTCTCATTTACTGCTGAGAACATAGACTACCTGTTACATCTATCAAGCTCATTTACTGCTGAGAACATAGACTACCTGTTACATCTGTCCCCTATTGTATCTGTGTCCCCCCCCCCCCGTCACAATTTTCAGTAATGAAAGCCTCTGAGTTAGCTAGAGCCTTCGAGATCTCCCCAGCGTAGCAGGTGGACCCTCGGCTGGACTGGACCAAAGGACTTCATCTCTGCATTGGTAGCTATATCCCCTCTCTCTCTCTCTTTCTCTCTCTTTCTCTATCTTTTTCTCTCCCTTAATCCCTCTATTGCCTTTTTGCTGTGGTTATTTCAATAAAACTGCATTTGATCTGATTATCACGGCAAACCCCCTTGTACTGTGTTGGTTTTTTGCACTCTGAGATCATTCCTATGAACCATCAGGTCATCTGTCCACTAGGACAGATCCTGACACTCCATCAAGCGCCTTCAGGATAGTCTTAAGTAGTTTGTTGCACTGTTCAACTTTTCTGGCACCTGGCGCAAAATAAGGGATATGATATATCCATTCAACATCATGTGCTTTGGCTAAGGTGTTGATAAGACTTTTCTTGAAATGGGTCCCGTTGTCCAACTCGATCATCTCAGGGGTGTGATGTCTCTACAGCACTTGCTTTTCTAGGCCTAAGATGGTGTTCTGGGCAGTAGTGTGAGGCACAGGGTAGGTCTATCCAGTGTTGGCTTCTACCATGGTCAGCACGTAGTTCTTGCCCTGGCATGTCTGGGGCAGTGAGATGTAGTCAATCTGCCAGGCCTCCCCATACTTATATTTGGACCAACGCCATATGGGCTTCACTTGCTTGGCCTGCTTGATTTCAGCATATGTCTCACAGTCATGGATAACCTGAGAAATACTGTCCATGGTTAGATCCACCCCTCAGTCTCATGCTCACTTATAGGTAGTGATGACCTGAGGCATCATGGGCCCACTGGGCTAGGAACAACTCTCCCTTATGTTGCCAATCTAAGTCTATCTTTGACACCTCTATCTTTGCAGCCTGATCTATTTGCTCTTTGATTTGGTGCTTCTCATTAGCCCGACTCTTGGGGACATGGGCGCCTACACAACAGACTTCTACAGGTAGCTTCTCTACCAGAATGGTAATGTCTTTCCATTCATCAGCAGCCCATATTTGTTTTCCTCTATGCTGCCAGTTGGCCTTTTTCCACCTTTCCAGCTAGCTTCATAGAGCATTGGCTGCCATCCACAAATTGGTATAAAGGTATAGCTTTGGCCACTTCTATCTTTCTTTCCTTCTTTCCTTCTTCCCTTCTTTCCTTCTTTCATGTCCAGGACCAGTGAATGGCCTTGAGTTCCGTAAGTTGATTTGATCTACCTTCTCCTTTGGTAGCTTGTGCAACTTGTGTAGGGCTCCATACGGTTGCTTTCCACTTTTGCTTCACAGGAACTATCACTGAAAAGAGTGTAGTGTGTTTCCTCTGCTGGTAGATGGTTGTATGATAGAGCTTCTTCAGCCCATATCACTTGTTCTTGCTCCTTTTTGTCAGTGAAACTAAAGTTTTCACCTTCCAGCCAGTTTGCAATTATTTCCAAAATCCCAGGGTGATTCGGATTTCCAGTATGGGTGTGGTATGTGATGTGGGCAATCCACTTGCTCCATGTGATTGTAGGTGGCATGGTGGGTACAGGAAATCTTTCCTTTAACCATCTACACCAGCATGGGTAGTTGGGGTGCCAGGAGGAGCTGTGCTTCTGTGCCAATCACCTCTGAGGCCACTTGAACTCCTTCATGGGCAGCCAACATTTCCTTTTCTGTGGGAGTGTAGTTGATTTCAGACCTCTATAACTTCAGCTCCAGAATCCCAGTGGTCAGCCTCAAATCTCCCCAAGCACCTTCTGCCAAAGGCTCCAGGACAAGCCATGGTTCCCAGCTGTGGAGTCGAGCACATTCTTCACTCTGGTCCCGACCTGACTGGGCCATGGGCTACTGCATGAGCAATCTCCTGCTTGATCTGGGCAAAGGCTTATTGCTGCTCAGGGCCCCACTGGAAATCGTTCTTCTTGCAGGTAACCAGGTGGAGAGGGCTCACAATTGAGCTGTATTCAGGAATGTGCATTCTTCAAAAACCTATGGCACCCAGGAAAGCCTGTTGGTGCTGGTTGGTGGAGACATCGCAGTGATCTTGTTGATGACTTCAGTGAGAATCTGATGGTGTCTGTCTTTCCAATTTACTCCCAGGAACTTGATCTCTCAGGCAGGTCCTTTCATTTTGCTCTTCTTGATGGCGAAGCTGGCTTCCAGCAGAATCTGGATGATTTTCTCTTCTTTCTCAAACACTTCTGCTGGTGTGTTCTCCCACATAATGATTTCATTGATTGACTGCAGATGTTCTGGAGCCTCACCCTTTTCCACTGTAGCTGGGATCAGTCCATGGCAGATGGTGGGGCTGTGTTTCCACCCCTGGGGCAGTTGGTTCCAGGTGTACTGCACACCCCTTCAGTTGAAGGCAAACTGAAGCCTGCACTCTGTGGCCAGAGAAATGGAGAAAATTGCATTAGTAACATCAATATTGGCATACCACTTTGCTGCCTTGGACTTGAGCTTGTATGAAGTTCCAGCATGTCTGGCATGACAGCGCTCAGCAGTGAAGTCACTTCATTCAAGTCATGATAGTCTACAGTCAATCTCCAAATTTGCACACAGGCCAAATGGGACTGTTGAGGAGT